AACCGGGAACAGCCTCCGCTCCCCGCGGGCACGGCACCTGCCGCCGCAGGCTGCTCCCAGCCCTGGCCGGCCCGGCGGCTGCTCCAGGGGGATTGCAGATTTGGGGGGATCGCCCCCGTCATCCCGGGGGTGCCGGTGGGGCTGACCCTGCCGGCAGCCGCTGCAGGAATGCCTAAAGCTGGAAAAACCCTCCTGAGCAGCTCGCCCCGTCCCTGGGGCTGCTGCGGCTTCTGCCATAGGTCCTGCTTAGCTTCCTCCCCTCTTGCCTTGTTCCTACTCTTTTTCAGTTAATTTATTGCCCTAAATTCAGCGAAATGTGTTTGGCCGGGGCAAAAGTGGCTTTTTTTGGAGCTGCTTCCACGAAATGGCTTCGTGCTGGTGGACATGTTGGGCTGGTGTTGGAAGCGGCAGAGTTATTAATTCAAAGGCCAGATCAAATGTCCGTGTCCTTTGATTTCTGGGCACCCCTGGCTGAATTCTCCAGTGCCTGCCTGAGACTTTGGCTTGTTCGTGAGCTCCTCTCAGTTGAACCATCAAGTAATAACTGTGTTTAATATTAAACTAACAATGTAGCTCCAATGAGCTGATGCATATTCATATTTGGGAGGCGACTTCATTCCTCAGTAGTGACTCATCAAATATAAAATCGGGCATGTTGGCTTCTAATTAAAAAGCCTATTCACGGCGCTAAGACCCAACTGGCATTCACAATAACCGGGATTTTGGAGCTTCGGCTGCTTGAGAAATAGTTAGAGCTCAGCCTGGGAGAGGGAAAGGTGACATTTGGAAGGCTGGCTTGGAATTCCTGGAGTTGCTGCCGCATGGTGGGGGCAGGAGCGCTGGGTTTGGCTGCTTTGAGGTGAGGTGGGAGCTGCGGGCAGGACGCTGCCCTCGGCCGGGCAGCAGCACGCCCTGGGCAGCAGCAAACCTTGCAGCAGCTCTCGGTGCCCAGAGGATGCTGCCAGCAGCAGCTCCCAGCACGGCGTAGCTGAGGGCTGTAATTGTGCCCGGCCGTGCTGGCAGAGCCGGTGTTTAGGGCTGACTAAGCTGGAACAAGTAACCCAAAAGGCAGGTATTTATCCTGTTGTTGTTGTTGTGGCAGGTGGGGAGCGCAGGTCAGGACGCAGCAGGATTTGCTCCTGCCTGGCTGTCACAGTCAATTATCCCAACCACACGGAAGGTGAGCTGCTGTTTTGGGAAGCAGGTCAGCAGCTGCCTAACCCTGGAAATATCCAACCCTCTGGGGGAAAACGCAGCCCTGAACCCACTGCCGGAGCCAGGGGGGATGAGCTCCAGGTGAAGGTCGGTGGGTGGAAGCTCCCAGGGAATGGCAAAGCGCTCTGCTCCCCGCTGCTCTGCAGGTTGGAGACTTCTGGGATGATCCAGGACAGCGCTGACTCGATAAATTGGGTTTTTTTCCCTGTTTTCTGAATATATCTCACACAGACAGACTGGGGAACTTGAGTAAGCCTGGAGGCCGTGGGTCTGGAATGCTGCAGGTCCTGAGCCGTGCCCAGAGAAGGGTTAAGTTCTTTGGGGTTAGGAAATAAATCTGGAACAAGATCTTCTCCGAGCAGCGGGCCCGGCTCCACATCTGAGACTTTGTGACCTATATCTTGTCTGCCTAAGCCCGAGAGAGAGCACGGAGCTCTTCAGCTGCACGAGTGGCTGAGTGGCTCCGGCTGGCAGCAGGGGCTGGCCCCAGCACCCCTGGGTGACGTTTGCTCCCCGGGGGAACAGCCCTGCGTGGCTTCTGCGAGCAGCCTCCTCTGGTCAGGCTCCCTGCTTGGAAAGCAGCGTTTTCCCTGGCTGGGCTGGCGGGGTGAGCAGTCCTGTTCAATGCTGCCCGACATGTGACTGTCACCAGCGGGCTGGCGAGGAGCCCGGCTGCGCTTCCAGCCTGGCAGGGATGGCTCACGCCAGGGAGAGGGGCAGTGCTGCCAGGGAGAGGGGCAGTGCTGCCAGGGAGAGGGGCAGCGCTGCCAGGGAGAGGGGCAGCGCTGCCAGGGAAGCTGCCTCCAGAGCCATGGCAGCCCCCCAGGTGTGCCCACGTCGGTGGGTTTGTGCTGGATGCTTTTGGAAAGGCAGCAGAGCTTGCTGTGGTCCCCGAGGGTCAGGGATGTGGCGAGGGTTCCGTGCTGCAGCCCCTGACCTTCTGTGTGTTCTTCCTTCCAAACCAAACCCACGGAGGGGCAGTTTTACTGCTGCTGAGACCAGAACTGCAGCGCTTCTTGTCTCCCCCAGAACTGCTCAGGCCCGGGGCAGCCAAGAGGGTTTGGCCCTTGTGATACAGCTTTGAACTGAAATTCACGTTTTGGGCAGCCAAACTCAGAGTTTGTGGGGCCTCTCAAACTAGGGCAGGCCCACAGGGCTGCAGGGCCCAGGCAGACTGGCTCTTGGTGATCCAGTTTGTCCATTTGTGTCCCGAGCTTCGGCTCTTTCAAGCCACGGCCTTGCTCTAGGCTGGCTGGTTGGGACTCCCAGGGAAATGGAAATGGCTGGAGGGGAACACGAAAGCAGGACAAGACGTGGGAAGAGCTCCTGCTGGAAGGTGCAAACCTAATCTTCCTGGGATCTCTGAGCCGAGTTAAACTCAAATTATAAGCTGGTGTCCAGATAATTTATTTTATGGTCTTGGGGGTTATTTTAGCCTCCTTCTTGTTAAGTAATCGGGCAGGTGATTCAGCTTTCCTGTAAATGAGGAAAGCTTTGGAGGGGCTGCTGGGTGTGCCAGGACTGAGCAGGCAGCATTAAAATCACCGGAGTAACACCCGCAAGATGAAAGCTGCCTCTTGTGCTTGATAGCACGCCAAGCTCAGCACCAAGCTCTGACACACTGGAAATTGTTAGGATACACTTACTAGTTGGGACATGAACTTGCACACACCTGGCTGGGGCTTTTGAGCTGCTCTGGCATCTTGATTTGCCTTTAATGGATCTTGACAGGCCGAAGGGATGGCTCAAAGGGGTGAGCCACCCTGATTAAATCCACGGGGGTGCTGCAGACTGGGCTGCCACCTCCTCTTTGGGGTCACTTTGGCGTCGGCTGGCCTTGGCTCGGTCACTGGGACTGGGGGGGGATGTAGAGGGCAAAGACCAGCCCGAAAAATGGGGTCAGGAAGGCTCTCCAGGCCAGAGTGGGGAAGGCAGGGAGAGCAGACACTGCACTGGAAGCAGAACAGCTGATCATGTGCAGTCAGCTCTCCAATGCCAGGAACAAGTAAAGGAGAGCCACCCCCAGCTGCTGGCAGCACTCAGGATGCTTTCCAAAGTGACCTATTTCCAGTGGATTAGCTTTTTATTTGGCTGTCTGGCACTGGAGTGACCCATATAGCGCTGGGAGTGCTGCTGCCGTCCCCGGGCTGCTCCAGGAGCTCCCTCCTGCTCTCTCTGACTCTGTCTCTGCCTCAGGTTGTCCGGAGCCGCCTGGAGCAGAAGGGGATCCCGGTGCACGACGTCAGGCTGAACGGCTCGGCGGCCAGCCACGTCCTGCACCAGGACAGCGGCCTGGGCTACAAGGACCTGGACCTCATTTTCGGGGTGGATCTGAAGAGCGAAGACGTTTTCCAGCAGGTTAAAGATGTGGTCATGGATTGCCTGCTGGACTTCCTCCCCGAAGGTGTCAACAAGGACAAGATCACGCCCGTGACCCTGAAGGAGGCCTATGTGCAGAAGCTGGTGAAGGTGTGCAACGAGACCGACCGCTGGAGCCTCATCTCGCTCTCCAACAACAGCGGCAAGAACGTGGAGCTCAAGTTCGTGGACTCCCTGCGGCGCCAGTTCGAGTTCAGCGTGGACTCCTTCCAGATCATCCTGGACTCGCTCCTGCTCTTCGGGGAGTGCTCGGAGAACCCCATGGCCGAGAACTTCCACCCCACGGTCACCGGGGAGAGCATGTACGGGGACTTCGAGGAGGCCATGGAGCACCTGCGGCAGCGCGTCATCGCCACCAGGAACCCCGAGGAGATCCGGGGCGGGGGCCTCCTCAAGTACTGCAACCTCCTGGTGCGGGGCTTCAAGCCCAAGTCCGAGGTGGACATGAAGGCGCTGCAGAGGTACATGTGCTCCAGGTTTTTCATAGACTTCTCCGACATCGGCGAGCAGCTGAGGAAGCTGGAGGGCTACCTGCAGAGCCACTTCGTGGGCATGGAGAGCAACAGGTATGACTATTTGATGACCCTGCACAGGGTGGTCAACGAGAGCACGGTGTGCCTCATGGGACACGAGAGGAGGCAGACCCTGAACCTCATCGCCATGCTGGCCGTGAGGGTCCTGGCTGAGCAGAACATCATCCCCACCGTCACAAACGTTACCTGCTACTACCAGCCAGCCCCTTACGTCAGCGAAATAAACTTCAACTACTACGTGACCCACGTGCAGCCCTTCCTGCCTTGCAATCAGTCTTACCCCACGTGGCTTCCCTGTAACTGAGGCAGGACGAGCTCCAGGGTCTGTCCTCCGAGGTATTTCCTTGCCTTGGGGGGTCGGGAGAGTGGGGAGGGGGAGCAAAATAAAACCTACCCACCTTCCTAGGACTGCAACAAGAGGAAACTTCCTGGACTCTTGCTTGAGCGTCTCGTTCCTGGGATGGTTGGAACGAGCCTTGTCTGCTGTACACTGTGATGGGAGGTGCAGTGCTATGGGAATGGCTCCTCATGGAATTGTGGAGGCAGCGGGGCGGGTGGGGTGTGTGAGGGGAGACTGTAGAATTACGCTAAGGTAGAGCTGCACTGCCCTGAAATGGATCTGAATTGTGGTTTTCTTTTAGTGCAGGAGGTGTTATGGGTGTGCAAACTTGTGGTTTCTGCCAAGAGAAGCCAGGGTGGCTAATTCCTTTGAAGGACCAAAGAATCCTGTTTAAGTGCCTGTAACAATATAAACACAACCGTACTGTAAACCTTTATTATTTTTTGCGGGGGCTGATGGCCCAGCGCTTGAGTGGGGAATGTCTGAAGAGGAAAACGTTTCTGTCGTGGGTGGGGAGGGTGGCCAGATCATTTCTTATCCTGGCTGAGGCCAGAGCAGCTCCTGTGTCGCCGAGGGGCTGGGGCACGGCAGTGCCTGTGAAGGACCAGCTGGAGCCAAAGTGGGGCTGCAGAGCCCGGGGGGGTTGGAATGGCTGAAACTGGGAGCACTGGGGAGGGGGGAGAGCATGGTGGAAAATGCTGTGCAGGGCTTGCTGGAAAAAAGGCAGCAGGGTCCTACACATGGATTTCTTCAAGCTCCCAAGTCTGCAGTGCCAAAATACAGTAGAGTTCCTAAATGGTGAGGCAGGTGATTTGTCCAGGAGCTTGCCCCAGGCTGCCATACCTAATCCTGTATTTTCTAGGGGAATTTGAAATGCTGTTCTTTTTTTTTTTTTTTTTTTTTTTTTTTTTTTTTTTTTTTGACATGCAGTGTGATTTTAATGCACAAAGCCACAGGCCAGCTGGGCCATCGGGAAAGGTGAGGCTTGTCCTTTGAAGCACAAACCAGCCAGGTCACTGGTCAGTCATTTCCAGCTGTTGCTCTGTCCTCCAGGGAGGTGGACAGGCCTCTTCCATGCTGGAGATCATCCCTTGGGCAGGTCCCACCTCCAAAGCAGCCTATTCCCAGCTGGGTGGTTCCCTGTGGGAGCCACCGAAAGCATTTGAAATTCATTCTCTAGCTAGAAATGGAGCCTGGGGGCGGAAAGGGGATGAAGTTAGTTGGCCTTAGGGAAAAAATGTCTTCTAAGCAGACCCTCTGGTGTTGGAGGGTTTGGCTCTCTCAGTCCAATGTGGCTTTTGAAGCTGTTGGGTGTCCGGAGCACAGAAGTTTCTCGTGGAGGTGCTGGGGCTGCCGTGCCCGCAGAGAGCTCGGATTTCAGGGAGGGCAGGCAGCTGGCATCCCTCGGGATGCTGCTCCGGGGGCACCTCGGCTTCCTGGTGCTGCCTCTGGGGCCGATTCTCGAGTGTCTTTACTAACTTGTGGGTTTTGGGGTTTGGTTTTTTT